ATCTTGCATAAATTCAAGGATCTGATCATTACTTAAAAGGCATCAAGAAATTACAATTCAACCAAATAATATACAGTCCATTTGGAAGCCAGCTGATAGTGGGATCTGCTTGATTTACAGAAGCGAAGTCTGCAAGGGCCAAAATAGTGGAAATAACTTAAGTCTACAGTTGGATTTCCCTTGTCTTTTAATTGCTGGGACCCCGGTCCAGTTACTTGTATATACTCATAGGCCGTCCTTATGCCTTTGGCTTGAAGGATGATTGGCTTTATGAAAATAGCAAGGGGAAGGAGAACCAAAGTCATCACATATTTCTCATCACTGTGGTCTCAACAGGAATCATTTCTTGGGTAAAGGCAAAAAATGGCACAGTATCATCAACAGGTTGCTATTGCTTTTTAAGTGTACCACAACGTATGGGAGGGGACATGAATTCCTTTGGAGACATTGCACAGAGAGGTTTCACCCTTCACCATCACGACGGCCATAGTGTCCCAGCCCACCAGGCAATCATTTTAAGGGGACAAAAAGGTCCCACTGACACCAGATAATAGTTTTGTCCTAAGTTCATCTGCCATGCTGGGAAGATGAGGGGGGGATACAGTTGCAACTAGGGTTAAACTTCCTCTTCCATCATCCTGCAGTCCCATTGGCTTTATGAAAACAGCAAGGGGAAGGAGAGCCAAAGTCATCACACACTTCTCATCACTGTGGTCTCAACAGGAATCATTTCTCGGGTAAAAGCAAAAAATGGCACAGTATCATCAACAGGTTGCTGTTGCTTTTTAAGTGTACCACAACATATGGGAGGGGACATTAATTCCTTTGGAGACATGGCACAGAGAGATTTCACCCATCACCATTGTGATGGCCATAGTGTCCCAGCCCACCAGGCAATCATTTTAAGGGGACAAAAAGGTCCCACTGACACCAGATAACAGTTTTGTCCTAAGTGCAACTGCCATGCTGGGAAGATGGGGGGGGGGATACAGTTGCAACTAGGGTTAAGCTTCATCTTCCATCATCCTGCAGTCCTAATAAGAGGATGTACGGAACACACACAGTTCACTGGGACTACAGCATGCAGGAGGAGGATCATGCTCCAAGCAGTGGTGCACGATCCACATTTGACATAAAATGTACGGTAGTTAAGCCAAGATCAGATTGTGAATCTCCTTCTTTTCTCATTTGGCCAATACTCACAGACAGGTTGCTCTTATATAAAAACCAAAAGAAGTTAAAGGAAATCTACAGTTAGCCCTCCCTTCTCATCATGAAAAGAATGTTAAGATATTGGCTGAAATCCAGCAGCTTAACTTACATGGCATCAGGCTGATGGCACTGTCAGCTGTGGCAGTTTTTCAGAAATTAATTAATATTCCACCGCCACCCCAGTTCTCAAGGCTCCTTTGGAATCCTCTTCAGCATGGGAAAGCCACAAGAGTAGGAGCAAGGAATCTTTAATTTCCTAAGATCATTCTGGTAGCAGTGGTTTTAAGAAATTAAAGACATCCCATCCCCAACTTGTGGCTCAGAAAATGTTCCCCACAATGAAAGGGATCCTAAGGAAGCCTCAAGAATTCTAGGGAGAATGAGAGACTTTTAATGTCCAAAATACCACCCCAGCTGATGATATCATCAGTCTTACATGGCATAAGTCAAAGCAACTGGATTTCAGCCATTAAGAATCATTAAAGCCAAAGCAAATGGATGGTTTTCTTCAGGTCTGGCCCTACCATTAGATAATGTAGTTTCTTGAAAAGTCAGCAAGCTGTTAGTCATTTCATTCAATATGTTACTGCTGGGGCTGCTGAGGGATGCTTCAGGGCTTTTCTATGCTAAAAACAACCAATGTGCAGATTAAGAGTGCAAAAGCATCTTCATTTGAGTGAGTGGGCACTATCGTTTGCTGTTCCTTCTCAGGCAGGAAAATGTCTTGGGCCAGCACTGGCTTTCTGCATGAAATGATAAACTGCATGATAAGATCAATGACTACTAATTGTGAATTTTGTCTGCCACTGGAAATCCACTCTCCCCACATTTCAGGGATTGCTAAACTATGTAGACAGAAGAGTGGGCTCCACATGCTTCCACCTGGCTGTACAAGGGGCTCTTCCTTATTTCAGGCTTACTTTATTTGGCTGCATTGAATGCCCTTCTTCTCTATCATATGGGGATAGCAATTTTTGGCAACCTTGCAGAGTTTGTTTGTTGGTTTGTTTGTTTGTTCATTCGTTCATTCATTCATTTGTTCGTTCCTTCAGTTTGTATCCCGCTCCCCACCCAGCACTAGTCTGGGTGGGTTACAACTCATTGATGTTAAACTGCACACCCACTTTTGAAAACAGTACTGAGTTTTTATTAATAACACAAGCAGAAAGGTGTGCCTTTCCAGATATAGCAGCAGGTCTCAATTAAATCAGTTACGGAAGAAACTGGAGTGGTCTGGTTCAGGTTTAAAAGGTTATTTGTTTTAGTGTAATCTATTTTATCTTTCACTTGAGTGATCCTTCCATCCACATTGATTGATTTCTCTTCTCCTGTAAGGAAGGGTCCAGACATGTCTTTGGATCATCCCAATTTGTCCCCATTTTGATTAATAACACTCCTCTTCGTGCCCCCTTCCCTGCTTTTTCCCACAGTCATCATTCAGTGGGCCACAGCAACTGTTTTCTTTGAATAAAGCAAGTGATATAGCAAAACAACAATTCATCTACACATAATACCACCAAGGTATCTCATTTATCTAGAATAGCGCTGCAGAGTGATATAGCAAAACAACAATTCATCTACGCAGCAATAGGAAAACATATTTTAAAATTTTAAAATGATTGAATAGATGAAAATAGAGGAGCAAGGTTCTCCATCATCCCTTTCAATGCCACCACCCACCAAATACATCACTGGATTGTCACCTCAGATAAGACCCCCCCCCCACTGTTCTATTTTCGTGCTAACTAACCATCCACACAGGCTACAGAACAGAATAATTAGGAGCGCTCCAAATTGTGCCCCCAAAAACAGTAGCCCTAGTGTTGTGCCAAAAAGAAGCAAGAGAGCTATAAAAAGGAATCAAGATGGATTGGTCTAAGTCAACAAATATGTAATTTGATTTGAACCAAACAGCATCAGAAGCATTCCAAATAACGAGCCATGTGCCCATCTGGACATGCTCTGTAACACAGCAAATACCCTGATTTCTAAAACAGGCTTTTCTGGCCAAAAGGCATCACATTTCAGTGGCAAATTGTACTCCCAGAGGAACCTGGAGTATTGTTTGTCCTTCTGGGAAATACATGGGAGAGGGAGTTCCAAGGCTTGGTGGGAGCCACATGTTTCCCAGTCCTCCATTAACATATCCACGTGCAATTTTGTAACAAAATAACATTGAAACTTGCACACATTCTTTAAAAGTTTCTATAAAACAGAATAGCCCAGCCTACACTATACCAATATAGATCCGTATCTTCCCTTCCTCTCGCTCTTCTCTCAAGGAGCAACAATAGTTATGGGGAAATGCAAGACACTTCCAAAGGTCATTCAGGCACTCCTCGCAGCAACAGAAAGCTCCAGGGCAAAGAAACCCAGAGGAAAACTTTCCCACTCCAGTAAATAAATGCCATCTTTTTCCAGCATTTACAGAGATATTAGCCGAGTTTCCTTCTCAGGACCCATGCTAAACCTGGCCGTATTGTCTTCAACTTTTACAGTCCATGGACCGATTGAAAGAAGGACAATACAGTAGTTGTATGAACTGGAGCTCTGACATGGCAGGAGAGGAGACCTCAATCCTCTCCCCCATCCTAGTCAATATGTAAATGTTGTGTTTCTCTTCCCTCGACCATGGTTCCCAGTCTCATCTCTCTCTCTCTCCACAATGATTCTTTTTCTATTGAATTTGTCAGCCCCATGTGGATTAGAGATATAAAAACTGTCAGATCTAGTCCAACCTGAAGGTCCCTAAAAGGCCAAGAGAAATGGTAACGCCAAAGAAATATACTGAGAGCCAAAAGCAGCTCCCTGAGTAGATAATTGTCAACCCATCTTCTCTAAGAGACGCAAACATTAAACTGAGGCAAAGCCCAAGCTGCCGCTAGGGAGACTTCTGGTGAGGGATAAGCAACTAAGAAATGTTCTTCTTTTTGCCATTTCTCCAGCACAGACGGAGGATGAAACAATGAGAAACTGGCAGTTTTCAAACAGAATAAAAGTTGTTCTTGGCTTTTGTTTGGATTCTTTGATATTCTTGTTTCGTAAGTTAGCACAAGAATACTTAACACCTGCCTTCTGGAAACTGTTGCTTGATCTCTGAGGACAGGAGTCTGGTGGCCTGGCCAGATTATAGCCATGCCTGGGGTGAGATAACCATCGCAGTTGGCTGACATCGGGTGACAACCCTCAGCCATGCTTCCTGAGCCCCTCAACCATTCCTTCCTGAGCAGTGATGTAGGTGATACCTCCCCTGGTCTGAATCTCTAAACAAGCATGCTGGTCTTACATGTGGTGGATGATGCCCTCCAGTCACCACTGAACAATCATTTGTTTATAACAGGTTGCCGTTTCCATTAGACGGGGTTAGCCGTGTATGGAAACCTCTCACACATTCATGCACAGGAGTTCAGAGTGTATGCCAATATATGTGCAGAGATCTCCTCCACACAACTCAGGAGCCTGGACAAATCACCGTCCCACTAATCCACACAGAAATCCTTTTTCATTAATGCTGAACATGTGTATGAGGGGAGATGAGGCTGAAGGCATAACAGGGACTGCCACAGGAAGCCCCCTTATCCATGTTTTTATCGCCTGAAGGGTGTCACCTGAATCCCATTATACACTACATGAAACATATCTATCAAAATCCTTTGCATATTCACTAAATGGTCTGTATGCTGCAAACCATACCCACTTACCTGAAAATAAGCCCTACCGAATTCAGTGTGACTTCTGAGTAGACAGATTTTAAACCCTACTGATAGTGTCTCAGAAAATATATAGACCTGTTTATCTCCAGCACGTGTACTCCATATTTGCTTTCAATCCTGTATTTTCCAGGCTCGCTTGCAGGTGTAATCAGTTCTTCATTTTTGTACCTGACAAACAAACACAGGACAAATTGCAACATCAAACACAGAGAATCAAGATGACTTGGACACAGAAGGACAAGGATAGAAGCAGTTTGGTCAGTGCTTAATCATAGAATTATAGAATAATGAAGCTGGAAGGGCCCTTATAAAGGCCATCAAGTCCAACCCCCTGCTCCATGCAGGAATATGAATCAAAGTACATCTGCCAGGTGGTTGTCTAAATTTCTCTTCAATGTCTGTAGTGTTGGAGCGCTCACCACCTCCCAAGGTAATTGGTTCCAGTGTTGTACTGTTCTAACAGTTAAGGGATTTATCCTGATATTCAACTGAAACCTGGCTTCCTGTAACTTGAGCCCATTATTATGTGTCCTGCACTCTGAGATGATTAAAAAAACCCTCCTCTGTATGGCAATCTTTCAAGTATTTGAGAAGTGCTATCATATCTCCCTTCAGTCTCCTTTCCTCAAAGCTAAGCCTACCCCGTTCTTTCCGTCTTTCCTCCTAGGGCTTGGTTTCCAGTCCCCTGATCATCCTTGTTGCCCTCCTCTGAACTTATTCCAGTTTTTCTGACTCCTTCTTCAAGTGTGGTGTCCAGAACTGGATGCAGTATTCCATATGAGGTCTATGCTCTATAATGCTTCTTTTGTTCAAAACTATCTAAGGTTGTACAAGATATATATTCCCAAACAGCTTGCAAAGAAAAGGAGAAAGGTGGAAGCTAAGTTGGGAAACCAACAAGGAGTACTAAAAATCCTGCCTGAAACCCTGGAAAGCCAGTGTCAGGCATAACTGACAATATTAGGCTATCAGGATGAGTAGCCTGACTCCGTACAGGTAGCTCTCCATGTTCCTGTGTAGTTCAGTGGTAGAGTACCTGCACAGCAAGAGAAGGTCTTGGGTTTAATCTCAGGCAAGACTGAGGAGAGCTGGAGAAGAACTTTGTCTGAAACCACACAGAGCCACCAGGGGCAATTCTTATCTAGGCCGACAAGTGGTTTGAGTTGACTTAGAATTCATCATAAACTGGAAGTGCTCAAGAGCATTCATCACATGTATGTGAATGTGCAGGGGAAACAGCAAAGTCCTGCTGGATCTCACTTTTATACAGGACTTTGTAACTTTCGACCAGAAATGGGCTTCTTTGAACTCAATGTTGCTCCATTAGAATCAATGTTGTTGTTTATTGTTTGTTAAACTGTCGGTTTGTAATACAAAACATTTGAACGGAGGCTGCTTGGGAGGACATAGCCACATGCTCCTCTTGCTCTTGTCTGTGAAATTACATTTGTGTGCAACAGATTTTGACTGCTGAAACATCCAGCGTATGTCTGCACTTCAACCTGGGAGGACACAGAAGGAGTTTCCCTGAAGAATGTGGGGACAGTGGACACATCTGAGTGTTCCCTCGGAATGTCAGCTCCCAGTCAGCTTATCCTTCCAATCTGGAAGCGCCATCGGATTTCTTCTAAGGCGAACGAAGAAGTATAAAGTCTGACCCTCCTCCCCTCCGAGCAGCAATGTCAACAGTACCCATCTGGCACATCTTTGAGGATTATAAAGGGTTTTTAACATATCCATTATGTATGTGACACTAAATAGCTCAGCTGATGCTCCCAAATGAAAGCAGCTTAACACCATTTTGAGATTCCTGGAAAGGGTCAAAGCCTTACCATTGTACAACAGGAGTGGGAAATCCTTGGACGGTGAAGAAAAGCTTGACAGACATCTTTTCCCAAACAGTATGAGATCGGAGTCGCACCAAAATTTCAGGTGCTCGACTAATGCTCTCTTCAATTGAATACCTCTCCAAAGCCATTCTTTCTTGTACCTGAACATAAAAATATGTGGAAGCAGAACAGAACGAGTCAAGTCCGGGCATGAAAGCCAAAGCGGCGGGGGGGGGGGAGGTGCAGCTTTTGCAGGATGTTAAAGCACTGAGCTTGCTATTCACTCTCCGGGACTGAATCCCCCAGAATCCCCCAGCCAGCCTGAATCTACAGGGGTGGCTGTGCTCATAGAGGGATTCAGGGAACTGTAATCCAAGAAAGTCATTTTTCAAATTCTGCTTAAAGCCATATGGAGGACAGAACACAGAAGGCGCTCTCACAGTCTCACCATCCTCTCTATGGTGACTTTATCCAGCTGTTCTCTAGCGAGGAGCCTGGCGGTGCGAAGCTCTTCTTCCAAGGAGGCCAGACTCCTGACATAACGCAGCCTCCTCTGCTCACTCCAGTGCTGAGACTTTTGCTCCTGACTCCTGCGTGATTAAAAGGGAAGATGACATAGGGTTAAACCCCCATATCAAGGCTTTCACGCGTCGTTGGTGAAATACACTTCTCCCTTATGTTTCACAGGTTGGAGCAGCACAGTTTTGATTAAACATGAATTTTTAAAAATATAATTATTTCACTAAATAAATAAATAGTCAATAAATACTGTGTTGCTACTCGTCTTCAGAAAGTGACCTGCAAAAGGTGGCTCTCAAAGCCCCTGTTGGTGGTGGGACAGTGACCCCTCTGGTTTGATGGCAGTGGCCTGGCTGGCCCCCTCTCCTAACATGGCAGCTCCATGTGGTGGCCAGAGAAGGTGCTGATGCATGCCAGGAGGCTAATGTGGGTCGGGGAGGTCATATTGGTGTGCTGCTCCATTTTGGGGGGAGGGGGAGGAGAGAATGCACTTCTGTCTTCCCCGTCCGATAAAGACTTTTTATGTGTTTTAGCTTCTTGTCTGTATTTGTGTGTGTGAATCAACTGTTTATGCTTTGTAAGTTTTGAAGGGCATAAGAGTTAAACATGGATTTTGAATATGGTGGTAGTGGGGTCCAGCACCCCTAACACTAGTGTTTTTGAAGAGAGAAGTGTCATCTTGGTTATGCCAGTGAAGTGTATGAAGTTTCATTACCAACATAAACAAGGTGGAGGACCCACACTCTCCAAACAAGTTTTCCCTCACCCAATAATAATCTCAGAACTGCAGCGGTGGAAGGAAACGTATGGATCATCGAGTCCAACCGCTGTTCAGGAGGACCAGTGAAAAATCGAACTCCCAACCTCTGGATCTGTAGCCAGATGCTTAAGCTGTTGAGCTATCCAACTAAGCTTCACATCAGTTCTCAGAGCTTTATTTTTAGTCCTCTACTTTTATGATGAGCAACTCACCAAATTAGGTTTAAACACAGCCTTCCCCAACTGGTTGCCTTCTAAATGCAAAGAAGCCATAGTGGTTGGGGATAATGGAAATTGTAAACCAACATGACTGCAGTTCACAAGGTTGGGGAAGCCTGGCTTAACGGGTGCTGACAGAAGTAGCTATACTAATCTCAATGAGATGTTCTCTCTCTCTCTCTTTGGGATTCAGCCAGATACAACATGTCAAGGATGACCGAATACAGACTTGGTGGGAAGGAAGGAAGCGTCACAGGAACAGCCACACTCCTGTCTATTCACATTCAGCATACTACGTCCATAGATGATGGGCACATATGAACTATATAAATTTTATTTGTAAAGTTCCAAACCCTGTCAAATGGATTCTCCAACTACAGTATTTTTATTTACATCCCACCTTACCATCATGCTGCTTAAGAAGATAACCTTCCTCTCCTTCCATTTTATTCTCACAAGAACCCTGTGAGCTTGGCTAGGCAGGGAACCAGTGATCACCCCAGAATTGCAACAGTAAAGTTTCATGGGTGGGTTAGGATTTGAACCTGAGGCTCTCCAGCCAGAATCTGGCACATTGGTACAACTACGACCTACTGCTGCCGCCATTCTTCTCCCCATCATGTCCTCAGTTGCCCTACATTTGGATGAGAACACATTTCAAGAAAATATGATCAATGGAGGCCATGCACACAACCTTCAGGTGGTATATTCTAGCCTGCAGGTAGGAACCATTGTGCCATGAGTTGTTGTCTCAAAAATCCCAGTTGCTTGGCCCAGCTACAACAAAAAGCTTCATAGTTTACGAGCCCTTCAACTGAATCCTCAGGACACCAAGCTGCCTGGCTGTGCTCTGTCAGGAAAGAAGTGCAGTATTATATGTGAAGAGCCTCGTGGTGCAGTGGTTAAACCACTGTATTGCAGCCAAAACTGTGCTCACGACCCAGGATTCAATCCCAGGTAGCTGGCTCAAGGTTGACTCAGCCTTCTATCCTTCTGAGGTCAGTAAAATGAGTACCCAGCTTGCTGGGGGGGGGGGCAATGTGTAGCCTGCATAGTTAACTTGTAAACCACCCAGAGAGTGCTTGAAGCGCTATGGGGCGGTATATAAGCAGCACGCTTTATTTGTGGGAAGGGTCCCTAGGGTGAACCTTGACAATAAAATAGGGTTCAGGCATTTCTCTAGTGGATCCTGGCTTTAAGCTATGCTTCAGGAACACAGCTAGATAAGACAGAAGAGATTCATAACAACCATCTCTCGTGATTATTTTAAAAAATTAAGCACAAAGAGGAATGAGGGCAACATTCAATCAAAACCACACAAGAGTGATCAGACTTCTTCCAGAAAGGGAGCACACTGTCCAGCTGCACGCTCACATGACATGCACCACTACAAATATGTATGTCTGTCCAAATATCTTAAAACAATAAATACTCTTTCAGGGGACAAGCACCCCACAACAGACACCCAGGTGATGATAGTCTTGCAGGAGGAGGATCGATTATTTTCTCATTTTTAGTCTTTCTATGATTTAAATAATTTGTCCTACTACTAAAATACCTGTCATTTTCCTCACAGTGGATTTTGCACAGGTAATTTACGATCAAAGTTCACTGAAAGTGTAACTTTGTCTCTGCAAAGTTAAATGAAAGGGCCATTTCAATGGGACTCAATCCAAGCGAAGTTTCCAAGGGATTGGCTCTATTTTATCTCCTACTATGCCACCTTTTAGCCTTTTGTTTCTGTCCATGGAGTTTTCTTGGCAGTGATACTGGAGTGGTTTGCCAGTTCCTGCTCTAGGTGGACTCCGGAGCCTAGCGTGCTCTGGTCCATGGGGTCATGAAGAGTCGGACACGACTTAACGACTAAACAACAACAACATGCCATCTTTAATGTTGTCCCAAATCTAACACCTGAATATGGTGCCTTTCCTGACACAACAGAAAAGGCAATCTGTGCTCTCCTCCTTGAAAACCAAGCAAGCCAAGTATAGGAGTAGAGCTATCAACCTTTGTAACACCTCAGAAGAAGAATTTACTTCTAAAGAAGCCAGATCAGGAACAACTATGGTGGCAAGCCTGCACAGAGTCTGGAATTGCTTTAATCATTAGCTGTTGGCATTTCAGGCATTGAAAGTACCGCGTCAGATTTCTCAGACACCAAGACTTCCTTCAGACCTCCTGAGTAAACAGCCTGACATAGCCAGACTATTTCTGAATTATACTGGGAGAATGAGGACACCTATGTCTAATGTGATTTTGAATTTTACATGTACACAGAATTGTCTAGTATACTGATGGGGGAGATCACACCAATAAAGTCATCTTTTGTATTGTTCAGTTTAACATGTGACGGGTTCACTCCACAAGGTAAGCCATGGGCTTTTATTTGGAAGACCTGAGCATGTCTGTTAGGGACAGGACCTTTTGGAGGTCATGAATTCATAGAGTCACCATATGTCAGAAGTGACATGACAACAACAAAGGTTCAATTAATTGTGCACCATTTTTCTGTAACTGGTAATGGTAAGTGGTAACTGATGCCATCCAATTGCTATGGTACAAATACCAGACACATGATATTGTAATACTATAAATGTAACAGATGAGTGCACCTACATGGGCTATAGAATTTTCATAACACTAAGAGTTCAGTCCCCATTAGGAATAACATGTAATCTCCTTCAGATGCCACCAGCCACAGAATATGCATCTATGAAGGGGTTGGCAGCTTTGGGATTGTGGGGAGTAATGGGCCATTTTATCAGTTGTTCAGCTGCTTGAGGGCCACATACCAAAGGGGGTGTGGACTCAGGAAGGGATGGTGCTTAGGATAATTGTGGGGTTTTTTTCTCAATTATATATATGCAAATTTTTCTCAATTATATATATCTTGAGTTATATTTTATATTCCCCTTCTCCAAAGAGACAGAGGTTTAATTAAATAATTAATTAATTATAGAAGGTTGTGCTCAAAATCCTACAAGGTAGGCTTCAACAGTATGTGGACCAAGAACTCCCAGAAATACAAGCTGGATTTCGAAGGGGCAGAGGAACTATTGTGGAGACCAAATTACTAACATGCGCTAGATTATGGAGAAAGCCAGAGAGTTCCAGAAAAACATCTACTTCTGCTTCATTGACTATGCAGAAGCCTTTGACTTTGTCGACCACAGCAAACTATGGCAAGTTCTTAAAGAAATGGGAGTGCCTGGCCACCTTATCTATCTCCTGAGAAATCTATATGTGGGACAGGAAGCAACAGTTAGAACTGGATATGGAACAACTGATTGGTTCAAAATTGGGAAAGGATTACGACAAGGCTGTATATTGTCTTCCTGTTTATTTAACTTATATGCAGAATACATCATGTGAAAGACTGGACTGGATGAATCCCAAACCAGAATTAAGATTGCCGGAAGAAATGATTAACAACCTCCAATATGCAGATGGCAGAAAGTGAGGAGGAATTAAAGAACATCTTAATGAGGGTGAAACAGGAGAGCACAAAAATGGTCTGAAGCTCAACATCAAAAAAACTAAGATCATGGCCACTGGTCCCATCACCTCCTGGCAAATAGAAGGGGAAGATATGGAGGCACTGACATATTTTACTTTCTTGGGCTCACTGATCACTGCAGATGGTGACAGAAGCCAGAAACGTATTTGCAAAGGCTTTCGCGGCTGCGATCTAATGGTTGTTGTGAGGTTTTTGGGCTCTTTGGCCGTGTTCTGAAGGTTGTTCTCCCTAATGTTTCACCATTCTCTGTGGCCGGCATCTTCAGAGGACAGCACTCTGTTCTCTGGTGTAGTTGGCTTGGGAGTGGAGTATTTATGGCTGTGAGATGGGCTTTTGTCTTTTTCTGTAGATGGGTGATTAGTGTGTCTTGTTGTGGGTGTATTGTCGTGATAAGGAGGAGAGATTATCTGTCACTGTGGTTGATGGGTGTCATTAGCTGGTCTTTTGTGTGTAGTGATCACCGGTCCTTGTGGCTGGGTAGAGGTCATTGTCCTTTTGCACGCTTTATTTTTCAGAGCTGGGAGCCAAGTTTTTTTAATTTCAAACTTTCTTCTTTTTTGTCGAAGTTCTGCTGGTATTTGTGGATTTCAATGGCTTCCCTGTGTAGTCTGACGTAATGATTGCTGGTGTTGTCTAGTATTTTGGTATTTTGAAATAGAGTTTCACGTCCAGTTTTTTTAGGGCATGTTCAGCTACTGCAGATTTTTCTGGTTGTTTTAGTCTGCAGTGTCTCTCATGTTCTTTGATTCTGGTGTGGATGCTTTTTTTTGTCGTTCCAATATATACCTGGCCACAACTGTAAGGTATCCGGTATACTCCTGCAGTGGTGAGGGGGTCCCTCCTGTCCTTTGCTAACTGTAACATTTGTTGTATTTTTGTGGTGGGCTTGAATACTGTTTGTAGGTTGTGGTTTTTTCAAAAGTTTCCCCATGCGGTCCATGACCTCTTTGATTATGGTAGAAATAGTTTATTTGTGGGTGGCTGTTTTTCCTCTTCAGTTCGGTGTTGTTTTCTTGGATTGATGGTTCTTGTGATTTCATTTTTGGAGTAGGGCCCAATTCAGATGGTTAGAAGCCACAAAATTAAAAGATGCCTACTTCTTGGGAGGAAAGCGATGACAAACCTAGACAGCATCTTAAAAAGTAGAGACGTCACCTTGCCGACAAAAGTCCGCATAGTCAAAGCTATGGTTTTTCCAGTAGTGATGTATGGAAGTGAGAGCTGGACCATAAAGAAGGCTGACTGCCGAAGAATTGATGCTTTTGAATTGTGGTGCTGGAGGAGACTCAAGGAGACTCAAGAGTCCCCTGGACTGCAAAGAGAACAAACCTATCCATTTTGAAGGAAATCAAGCCTGAGTGCTCACTGGAAGGACAGATCCTGAAGCTCAAGCTCCAATACTTTGGCTCTCTCATGAGAAGAGAAGACTCCCTGGAAAAGACCCTGATGTTGGGGAAATGTGAGGGCAAGAGGAGAAGGGGACGACAGAGGATGAGATGGTTGGACAGTGTCACCAAAGCTACCAACATGAATCTGACCCAACTCCGGGAGGCAGTGGAAGACAGGAGGGCCTGGCATGCTCTGGTCCATGGGGTCACGAAGAGTTGGACACCACTTAATGACTAAACAATGACAAAGTAGGTTATAAATCCATTTCGGGAATCAATCACTTTAAATTCCCTTACTGGGGTAGAAGCGACAGCATGATCAGCTACTCTTTAAATAACAATAGATTTCCTGTTTAGATAACAAAGGCTTGTAACTGTGATTAAATACCAAGGGGTACCGTCTCTCTTTAAAAAAAGTAATGCTTAAGAAAAATATTGGAAAATGCCTCTAATTAGAGTTAGTCAAAGTACTAAATTATTCTTCTCCTACAACCACTGGGCAGGAGAGAACAAGCAGGGAAAGTAGCCTTTTCTCACCAAACTTCAGTGGCGAACTGTGACCTTTTTTAAAAATCAGAAGAGAACTAGACGAGCAGGAGAGACACAGGAGGCCACATAGAAGTGGGGGCCACAAGCCACACTTTGATGGCCCCATGTCAGAACTCTGGTTCTTTGGCAGAGGGACTGGTGGGTCGTAAGATACAAAGATAGACTGCATTGATGCCAATGATGCTAGGATGGGGAGACTCAACTGTGCCTTGTAGCCTGCAGGATACCAACACATCTACTGATGCAGAATGACAGCAAACTAAAGGAGAGCTCTGACCATCTGGATTTATTTCCTTACAAAAGAACAGATCTATCCGTCTAGATAAATTATTTGAGCAATTAGGAGTGTCCCTCTGCCATTCTGCTAAGAGGTAACCTAAGGCTCCTCGATTTGTCTGTAGGGAAGAGGTGATGATATCAGTCCATAACTCTCCTTTCCTTAACATACCATGTCCATGTCCCTGGTGTATTTGTTCTACTGTACGTCAGTGGGTGTACAGCCTCTCACACAAAAAAAGGAATAGAGCTGTCAGCATATTTATTATAGGAGTACATCTCTTGGCTGAAACTGAGATGTCACCTTAAACCACCACCACCACGACTCAGGAGGTAAATAGGATATGAGGAAGAAAACTAAGTAAGAATCTGAGCAAGCAGCTCAAACATACAGTTTTGACATTCAACAAGAGCATAGAACATTAGCTTTAAAATATACATGCCCAGTAAGTACCAGCATCTATTTTATCCACTTTTAAAGCCTATTTTCAGTATTGGCATATGTCAGCTATGAGATTTACAAGAGCTTCTATGCTTTGGAATTCCAGACCAAATAAATTAATGAAGAGCCCAGGACACTGGAAATGTCTGATCATGTTGACAGCTCTGCCAGTAAACCTACATCCCCTGGGCGTTCAGGCGTTTCTGAGAGTTCTTTAGAGAAGAACCCATTTCTTTTCTTATTTCAAAATATTTGTGGGTGAGTCTTGCAGCAAGCAGTGATAACGATCACCCAAGGCACATTCCATAATCTGTATGACATAGCACAGCCCCTTGGCTAGAAAGAAATAAAATGGAAAGTAATAACACATTGTTGGTGGGCCACATGCAGCTTCCTAGGCCATTTTTGCACTCCTTAGATATATCCAAACTTATGTCACTGAATGTGGGTGGCTAAAAATTGGCCCTCCTGATCTTTTGAACCAGGGGTCATGCTCCGCGGGGCTTTTCTGAAAGCCGAAGCCCAAAGCCAAAGGTTGAGAACCACAACCATAATAGTGCATTATGAGTTAGCCAGAAGAAAGGTTTACCTTGCTTGGGATTCATGTGATGCTGACACCAATTCTCCGCCGGTTTGCTGCCTCCTTGCACAGAGGACACATGTTGTTTTTCCCAGGTTGGAAGACGTCTGATATGAAGCAGCCTGTCTAGAAGCAGCCCTTCGAACACAAACCACAGAGAACTCAACAACAACACAGTGCTAAGATTTCCGTATTCTTTTCTGGGCAAAAAGAGTTTTAGCTGGAGATTGGAAACATTACCATAAGAGGGCTTGAAACTCACTGTCAGTAAGCTGAGTAGCCATGCTGGTTGGGGAACTTTGAGAATTACAGTCCAAGCCAGTAGTTTTTACAAGCTCTGAGGCTAGCCATAAACAACTTTCTAGGTTTTTTCCCCCTTTCATCGCCATACAAGTGGAATGGGGATGATCTTACATGGCTACAAAGGCTGTAGCTGTTTCAGAAGAGAAAAAGGGTGACTCTGGACTGATTTGGGGAATTCAGAAGGCTGGGCTTATCCAACATACACCTACAGCTGAACCAAGAACCAAACAAACTTCTCTCCGCCTACAGATGCAGAGAAGCCAGTATTGCAGAATATTCTGAAGGTTACAAAGGGAATAGCTTCCCTGTAAGCTTTTCTTGAAGGATTTCCATGAGAAAAAGGGCAGATGTCTCATGTATCTCTCATCAGATCAAGAATTCCATTTAAGAGAGACAGAGAGAGTAAAACACTCCCCCAAGAAAGGCTGTGACATCAGCTTGGGAGCAGAAGGGCCTTCCTTGGATAGAATAACAGCCATAGCTGGACAGCCATCTTAGAGGAGCGGAACTGCCCAATTTTTCAGTGTGGGTTTTAGTGAGAATGAGGAAGAGGAAGAAGAGGAGGAAAAGCTGATTTAAAGCTCAAAAGCATATTACAAAGCTCATATTAACTTTGGAACCCCAATGGCCAGCCTAGCTCTGCCTGAAGAATCTGATCTATGATGATTATGCAGTTTCAGAGTTTAATGGAAAGTTCCTTCCTCGTAAGTGAAAGAAAAAGAAGAAATAGCGATGTAACGCCTATAAGACTAATTCGGGTTTTTTAGTTTCCATAAGTTTTCCTGTGCAAACTGTACTTGGATACACTAAAGCTTAAAAAAAACAGTCTGCCTTCCTTTTCAGGATCTTATCTGTGGTGGAGGACTTTTTTCCAGTGGGACTTGTGCGAGAAGGAAATATTTTTGTATATTCAGTCACGTAAGTTCACATTGGCAGTTGAAAGTGCACATTCAAGGCATGAATTAGAAAATCTAAAGTCTTTCAGCAATTGCAAATGTGAAAGCAATGATGTAGAAATTTACAGAAAACATTCATTATTGGTATTTCATTGCTAGCAGACTCGGTTTTGACACCAAATGCAGTCAGAGCCATGCATTTTAAATGCCTCTGACAGATTAGAAAAGTATTATTTTATATATCATTCAATAACTTTTGATTTTGATTAGCTAGAATGAAACTCAAATGTTATGGGGTGGTATATAAAGTAATACTTTTTAAAGTGATACTCCTTTTTTTAAAAAAAAATCTAGAAACAGTGTTTTCAGATGCTCAAACTCATTGGAAAGCTGAGTTTTACTGAACTCCCATGAAGACTAGAGGCCACACCAAACATTTACTTTTCACTTTTGGAAAATAATTTGGACACATTCCCCCCCCCCTCTACTGATATATTGAAGAAGGAAGCATAAGTACTGTGTCCAGGTTGCACTTGTCACATTTGGTCAGAATCCAGTCAAACGTGAAAAAGTAGACTTTTAGAGCGGGGAAACAGGTAGAAATGGAGGGCTACCATTCTGATCACAGGATTTTACTTGTTCCATGTTTACTTGTGAGTAAACTCAAATGTATTCAGTGAAACTCTTTTTGAGCAAACATACAGAGGATTACAGCGAGCAAGTTCACACCTTTGTGTTTTTTGAACTCCTCACAGAGCAGCAGATTATTCTGGTTTTGATGGCTTAAATACTGTAGTTTGATGCCCAACTCTGCCCACCTGCCAGAAGTGATTCTTATATCAAAAGAATGCTGAAGTTAAGGGACTTACTCATTGTAGGGTTTCTAGGTCTTTGAACAATTTCATCTATGTCCACACCATCCCAAAATTTGATCCTTTCCAATCTGTGCTTTTGCTTCTTACAAGAATATTTTAATGGGGAATAAATATGCCAAGAAGCATGATTTGGAATAGAAAGATAGGGCGTACATATCTTAATAGATTCCAGCATGGTCTTATGGGGCAAGGGCCAGGAGTGGTCCAGCAATGTTGGAATCCTTAAAGTCTGTCCTCCAGTTGTCTAAGTTCCTTGGCTGATGCAGAGGTCCCTCAAAGGACCAAGCCATAGTGCTATGTATGTGCAACTTGTAAATTCCCAAGACAACTCAAGACATCCTGCTGTATTCCGCTGCCTGCCACCCACCTAAGAGGTCCATCTCTGCAATCTCCTACAAGCAGCAAAAATGAGAGAGCCATGCTGCACTTACTGGTGGGCTACATAGCAGACATCATGAATTTGCCTTTAAGTCTCAGAAGGTAGACAGAGCTGTAACATTTGTTCATGGGGAGGGAAAAGTACTGTATAGGACTTACCTCCTTGCTGAATATTCCTGGAGCAAATACCTTGTCTCAATATTGCGATAGGACTGGTCAAAATGCTTGTGCCTTTTTTGGTAGAATGGCATTCTCTTCGACGACATGTTGGAACCTGCTACAGTCCACCCCTTCTGTAAAACAAAGGGGGACAACTGTATTTAATCAGGACTTCCAGCCCATTCCATTGTTCTCCTTACAACTTACCTCTGAAACAGATTGTGCCACCAACAGAAGTATTTTTTTTAATGGGGAGTGCCAACTGCTGCATTAGTTAACATAATGACAACTACCATCAAACACACAGGATTAACTATTCAGGATCATATGGTAACAGACATCCATTCCAACCTAAGGCGTGTTTATTTCAAAACAAATCCCACTGCATTCAGCGAGACATACCACAAAGTAACTGATCTTCTTAGGGCTATACATGAAATGACATCAACCTCTGTAACTACTCAAAAGTTACCATTTTCAGTGAGGAATATGCATTTCAATCAACACAACCGAATATAAATATGGAAAGAAATCTATGATTGCAACTTGATACTATAGACAGTTGACTAGAAAGTCTAACAACTGCAATCCTATGCACCCTTACCTAACAGCAATCCCAGATCAGCCTTCTGAGAAAGCTCACATAGGATAAAACTATGTCCCACACTGAAAGCAACAGAACTGAACATTTATTGTGCCTGTCATTCCTAGTTTTTTTCCTATACAACTTCAATTGTGGCCGCTGAATAATGAACATCCCACAAAAAACACAACTTTCTTGAGGACAATTCAAAAACTACACACGTAGCTTCTCATTACGTGCACACTTAAAATACATAAAACAATGGGAAGCCATGGTAGCCTATAGCAGCTAAAATAATAAAATACTATATGTGCACCTTTCAAAATCACATGATTAGCATAGCATAAGCCGTTGTGGGCTACAGTTGACCTTATCAGAGGTATGAAGTGTTATCCTGAATGTCAGGCGTGTATGTGGAGAGCACATCGCTGCTGGGACTAGGGCTTGTCTGTGACCCGAGTGGCTTTGTGAGTAGTTGGTCTTCTTTTAGAACAGATGCTTCTTCTGCCTCAAGCCTATTTCAAGTTCATCATTCATAGAAATAGGCATCAAGTCAACCAGATAACAGACGCATCACCTGCCTATGCAGGGCAATGCATGGTCAGATGACCCAGGTTAATGAAGAGAGGAACATTCTTAACAAATCAAGACATAAAATGCAGTCTCAAAACTCAGCTGCATTTATATCCCAGGAAGATCATTGCTTGACCAGTGCTTTACAACACCGCAGTCATAGAGATGCAGAGGCTCATGGGTATCGCTTTCTGGCTAGCAAACCAATGAAGACCTCCTTCAGGAGAAAATATTCATTGCAACTGACTCCTGCAACTGGAGGGACATGTTGCACAGAAGTTGTTGTGTTCAGCTGACAGTTACATGAACTGTTTGGATGCTCAGCATAAAATAGTGTTGGCTGAAAAGTTTTCACCTGTGAAAACATCCTACTCTGTTAGACTTTTAACAACAACCATTGGGTCTCTGAATCATTTGGAAGCCTTTTCGGTATACTGTCCTTGCTACATAATAAATGTAGCCCAATAATATTAATTCTGATTCACTCTTCACAAGATTCATGCTTTTGTTTTTCAATAGCAAAATATTTTCTGTGAAGGGAACGTGTAGCGTTTTAGTGGTCTTTCTGAAACTCGAAAATGTAAGATTGCATACAGACTTAATTTTTACTTTTAAAATTTTTTTGAACTTACCAGTAACTAATATAGCTATGGTAATTCTCTGAAATTAATTACATAAGTTTCAGCCCAAATGGAAATATTGTTTTATAAATAATATGAGGCATTTTGTTCAAAATTGCAGTTCTAAATCATTTATGAAGATCCTTTATTTTATGAGATTTTTTATAACAGTATGCATTTTTAATTGTTTTATTTTGATAATGTAATGATATTATATTTGGATAATAATTGTCCATCCAGTTCTGTCTGCCCATTTTCTGTTACTCCAAAGTGTGTTACCTCAATTACCAGCCACATTTTTTTTCAACACCATTTCTGCTCCTCAGGAATGTCTGAAATGACCCAATTACTCTGTCAGTAAATGTCCTTCAGACAACTGAGGATAAACTAACATTCCCACGCAATGCAGTATTGTTAAAAGAACTTCCTTATAGGCCTTTGTAGATCAGATGTTCAAATTCCCACAAATTCCAAGCCCTTTGAAATATTCTCAGTCACAACAAATCCTCCAGAAAAATATTATTTTGCTTCACTGTGCCTCATGCAGAAAATATTTTTTATCCAGTCACCTTGGCTCCACTTCTAGTTTTGGTAGCCTTCTCCTGCCAGCGTTGGGGAAACGGGGTCCTGGACTTGTGCCACAGGGCAGAGACACTGTCAATCAATGGAAGGACAGCAGCTTCCAGTTCGCCTCAGCTGTCACCCAACCAGTTTACGATTTTTGTATAGGTAAGTAACTCCCTTTTCCTGGCTCAAAGGAAAATTCCCTCAGGCATAAAGGTGTTGGCTGCTCTGCTGCAGTCTACAAAATGGCTTGAGCCTGTCCCACCTAACCACATTCTGCCTGTCCAAATTATCCCGGAAATTTTGACTAGACAGAGGAGCTCCTTACTTGCCATCCAAAATGGCCAGATGAAAGCCCTGTAATAACTCATGGTCGACATCACATTCCTCACCAGAGGAATGGCAACCTCTTTTCTTAGGTCAGGTGGTTTTCCCAAGGATAGTACAGTGGAGCTAAAATGATGCCGGTGGTGCAGAGGAGGAACCTGATAGTTTCAGGCACCCCTCTTTATGAGAGACCAGCTGCCAACTGCATTGCTCAGATGGCAGCAGGCACTGTTGCAAGGGCTCTCCTTCTCGCTCCCTAGAGAAAGACAGAAGGCCCCTTGCTATCTACAATTCTACCACAGGCCACAAAATGACAGGAGAGAGAGAGAGAAGACAAAGAAAAAGCTTCATATCTTTAGCTCTGAAACTATTAAGTGGCCAACCAAATGCAGCTAGAACCTCAGAATGTTCCACATTTATCCATTTTCTGGAAGACCTGAGCAAGTCTGACTAGTTACCACTTTGTTGCATACAGGGAAGAGTTTCCATTTGGAAGGAAAGTGAGCCTGATACAGTGGTGCCTCACTAGACTGTTACCCTGCATGACAGTTTTTTCGCTAGACATTGACTTTTTGCGATCGCTATACCAATTCACAAAACAGTGATTCCTATGGGGGAATTTCGCTGGACAATGTTTGGTTCCTGCTTTGCAAACCGATTTTCACTAGACAACGATTTTGACAGCTCCCTCCACGCTCGCAAAATGGGTGTTTTCGGGACCTAAGATTCGCAAGACAGCTGTTTAAACAGCTGATCGGCGGTTCGCAAAGCATCTTTCCTATGGCCGATCTTTGCTAGAGAACAATTCTTCCCCATTGGAACGCATTAAACAGGTTTCAATGCATTCCAATAGGGAAATGCTTTTCGCTAGACAATGATTTCACTAAACAGCGATTTCAGTGGAACGGATTATCATCGTCTAGCGAGGCACCACTGTATATATAATTAAATAAATATGTATAAAATAATTTCTTGCATATATCTTGTTCCAGAGATGTGTCTGTGTCATCTGCTCAACGCATAGTCTATGGCCATATCATACTTACTGGAAATCTTTAGACCCAATCACTTGCATCAACTGCATACACATTCTACAAAGTCTTATGTATTAGTAATATATGTACATTGCCAAAACACAATAGCAATTACAACATTGATTTGCTGATTCTACCTGTGTCGCATCAGCACACAAGACACAGACACAGACACAGACACACACACAGACACACACACAGACACACACACAGAGACACACACACACATACACACACACACACACACACACCATTTTGCTTGTTTGGAAATTCTACACCTGCAATATAAATAAATCTATACTTAGCCATGGCAAGTATAATTTGATTTTCAAGATTTATTTGAAAGAACTGATGAAACCTTGCACAACAGAATATATGATGTGGAGGCTTTCACATGTAAAAATATGTCTCAGGGACTAGCGTACAGTGTTGTGGAAAAGCACATCCCCAGTATGGCCAAACGAAGTGTATATTCTAATACAAGAGAAAACAGAAAAGGGGAAATTCATAGAAAGGGGAGAGGGGTTGACTTGGCTACTAGGAAACTCAGAATTTGTCTCAATAAGATCTCACTACCAGTTAACCAACTCTTTCTACTGAGCACCTCATCTCTGGGATAATCCCCTTCTTTGCAGGCGTTGCCTCTCAGTGTCTTGTATGCTGTAATTCTCCTGCTTTAGGTGGTTGCTGGGGAGAGAGAGGTGTCCTTTCCTATACAGGGGTCATGCGTCACCTAGTGGCATCCTTGATTTTATGAAACAGCACCCTGGAGAGGGCTTGGATCAGAACCAGTAATACCAGTGGCTGCTGAGAAGGAAAGAATAATAGAACAGCTTGGACAGGTTATTTCTGGAGATTGCAACTCCCAGAATCTCCCAGCCAGCATGACCACTGGTGGTCTTGCTGGTTGGAGGAGAGTGGGATTTGCCATCCAAGGGAGTAACATTTGCAGCTCTGGAAAAATGTGCTTGGTGAACAAAGGCCAGTGAGTCTGGGAGAGGTTAAAAGCTAAACATTGGCAATTAATCCTCGTGTTAAGCCATTGAAATTGTAGAGATCAACCCCCTTTTCCTTCCTTCAGGACAAAATCAAGGGAAAAAAATAAACCTATATTTTTTTCTCTGTGTCCTCTTTCAAAAGAGGTGCAATGTAAGTGGGCAGTTTGTAAGCTATTCCTGGAGAAGTCCCTCCCAGTTCTCACACTGTGCTCAGGGATTACGAAGGAGGAACCCACACATACCAGGGAAGAATTATATGGATGTATATGGTCCTGCCCAGGATACCTACACTGAACATAAGATACACAAAACACATCCAGCCAAGTGGAAAGAATTAGGGTTGCAGTCTCATTTTCCCAAAACTGTCATCAACATTGACACTAACTATAAACAACACATACAAAGATGGCCTAGATTGGAACTTTATCACAGTTTTCAAGAGCCTAGGAACCCTACACGATGACTTCTTCTTCTGTATAAGCTCTGAGCTAATGGGCTGATTAATTAATTAATCAATTTGTTGTGTGGTTAATTGTTCTTGCAGAGCAATAGACCACATCAGAAAATGTCCAGAGGTATCTGACTAGCTTTAATGTTACCAGACAAACAAACAAACAAATAAGCAAACAACATATCAAAAGTATTATACTAAAAGTAATCCAATCTCCACAATGCAACACTCAATAGAAATTCTATTTTAAGACTAATAAGAATAAATACACAAGTTGGGACTACAATAATTTACTGTGATGAAACACATTAAATTGAAACAAAAGCTTACTTTTCTTTTTATTTACAGTATATCCCACCCTTCTTCGCAAACAGTCCAGGATAGCTAACAGCTTATCTAAAACACAATATAAAACAAATGTAACAATAAAATGATATTTCTAAACTGTATATATAGTAAAAGTTCTAAAAATCCTTACCAAAAAGGCTCAGCAAGTAAAAATATGAAGCACTTGTTCTGCCCCCCACCCCCGCAAATTGCACAAATAAACACATTTTTATGGCACTGAGGTAACAACATCAAGGTCAACAACCACTCTTCACTGGGGGGCGAGGTTCCGCAGCTGGACTGTGACCACTGTAATGATCCTGGTCCATGGGATTGCCCTAGGGATCACAAGAGCACCACCAGTCATCCTTAAATCCCAGATCCTGAACCACTTAGTGATTTGCATTCCAACAAGAAGTCCTTGAATCAGGGTTGGTAGGTCACGGACAACCAGAGCAAAGATTTCAGTAGCAATGTGACAAAATCCCACTATCAACAAGATGCTAGATGAAACTGCCTATCTCCGCACTATGAGAAATTGTCTTGAGGATTCCCTTATCCTCTCAAGGCATCTCACTTCCAGTGTGAGACCATGAGGCCAAACTGTGTGGTTTGTTTGTTTTTTCATCATGGTTGCCACAATTTGCAAAACATATTCTGCACAAAGCTCTTGGATCTGCTCAATAGTGTTTCTTTTTCTTTTGTGAAAGAAACATACACATACTGTACAGCAAATACAAAAGAATAGACTGATTGACATCAAAGACACAATCAACCCATCCAGCACTACTTCTTTCATTAAGTCAAAGAAAAGGCAAATTATCACATTTTCATTATTTTATTTTTTGTTAAATAAA